CTGTCCTGTGTGCGCATAGCAAAGCAGGATGGGGGATGAGATCTCTGCCATTTTGTTCCTTTCTGACCGTCTGCTGAGGCCTTAGAGTTGCTCAAATGTAGTATGACGATCTCATAAGTTATTTACTCGGGTTCCATCTAGATCTCAATTTCCTTGCGCTGTCGTAGATTTCTCGAGACAAATCATGATCTCTAGGCGCTGTTCGGCTTGGGGGGGCCTTCTGTGTTTTCGCTAGTTCCTTTTGTTCGTTCATGTTAACTAACAAGTCTCACTTTGGTCGACCTGTAAACTGCTGTGAAGCTGCTAACTCGTTCGAGACACTCTCTTCATATAAATCTACAGGTCTACACAATGTGACATGTAAGAGTTCAGATGAGTACCATCTGGTGCCACCACCAAGCCGAAGTGAGCCGTTTTCTATGCAACGAGTGTAGCGCAAGGGATCTATTAGGTTGTCCCAAAAGTTCGTGGAACTTTCGAACATTTTTTCGAGTTAAGTTTATTCCAGTGGGAAGCAATTTTGATCAACTATATATATGTCACCTTCATTGGCAACTTGTTGCCAATCACTACGCAATGTGTGGTTGCCCTGCTTCCAGAAGCTTAGTTCTGTGCCCAGAAAGGCAGCTGGGTCATTTTTGAGGTACTATCACCGCTGTGGGATTAGTTTAGATGGCGATCGGAAAGAGCTAAGTCAGGGCTACACGAAGACTGTGGTGGAATTCCCCAGCTAAGCTTCGGGATCTCGAGCAGTGTCGTTTTCCAAATGTGTGACCCTGAGCTGTGGTGGAGTAGGCAAACATTGCTCGGTTTTGGGACCAAATGTTAGCGATTTTCAACCCCCCTTTGCAGTTGATTACAATAGGGTTCGTAGGTTACCACAGCGCTGAGAAGAAGAAATTCCGTTATGGGAAGGGAGAAAGAAACCCCACCACATACACAGTCTCACCGCCCTACTGGATTGATAGGATTGCGCGATCGGTTCTGCCCTTTCTGGGGGATCTAGCCGCTGGCGCTCCCAGGAGTGATTCACCTAGAGGCACCCACTCCATATCCAGTTACAGTGCTGTTCAACCAGTCTTGCAACGCAGTCCGTACACGAAACGGGAGAAAGTTGTGATAGTACCCGTTTTTTTTTTCTTTTTTTCTTTTCGCATGTGATAAGTAGGGCTATCTCTGCGCTTTTCATGAGAAATAATTTTTTCCCATCTCTTTGTAATGTATAAAAGGAACAGGCAAAACATAATGTTCGCTGCAACATTCCGCGGTACGATCTTTGGTATAATCTCAAATAACGTGAAAGTATATGATGAGTTGTTCGTAAACCGAACTTGGCAAAGGAACTATATCTACTGTAGATAAATAAGCCAGGCAGCCTCTGCAAATCCCTTATTTTGGTCCCATGCTACTGTGGAACAACTCATTCTATGTTTTTTTTATATTCAAATAGGGAACACAGAGTTAAAGGATCCTGCCACAATAGTCTAAGGTCTAGTTTTTTTGCTCTGCTTGACACGTGATATTTTTTCACGAAAGGTGGTTTGCTTCCATGCATAAACGCGAGGTTTGTCTTTTTCACTTCTCTAGATAGATTCACTAAAGCAGGAAGCAATTGAGCCATTCCAAAGCCGTACTGTGGAAGCTAACATCAAGATCTAAATAAGGGAAATGCCGCTTATGGCTCCAACCACGTTGTGGCTTGGTAGAGATCATATAGCGAAGTGTGTCGAAAATGATGAATTTCAATTACCGTTTTTCATATGAGAACAGCGACTGCGAGGGACGGTGAAGAAGCTGTGGGATGCTTACCTAACACACTTCCCATAGACCACATAACTGGATCTCGAAATGGCTGCGGAAAGATCTGATACGAGATTCAAAATGTCCAACTTTTGAACAACCCAATACTTTCTGATGTCGCGTAAAAACTGTCAGTGTATTTTTTAGCCACTGCACAGCCACAGTACATTCGTCCATGTAGAATCAATTAAGTCCCGCTGCGAACGCCGCATCGCCGCTACGTGGATCTCCTGCACTACATCACCATGTAATGTATCAGAATGTACACATCAGTATGAAAAGACACATAGCCTTAGGATCAAACTCACACCCAACTTGTATATGTAAGAAATGTTTTATTTTTGTCCATAAATGTTTTATTCCGTTTACAAAGTATATGGAAAGAACTAAGAAATGGGACAGTATCGTGATGTATTGTAGAACTGACTTAGAAATGAAAAGGGGGAGGGGGTAAAGGTTGAATAGCATTTATTCATTTATTACTCTTTCTTGTAGGTATTTACTCTGCGGGGCTTTAGGAAAGGAATCAATTAATTTTTGATTAGAATTCACACACGGGCATATTACTATTTAATACAACAGGAATGCAGTCATTACATGATCGAAAGAGACTGGAGAGAAAATTAACGACTATTGACAGGTCGTAGTCATTTTCCTTTGAATACTGATTAGTAAAGAATATTCAACATTGGGCGCTGTACGGCTTGGGAGGGTGATTCGACAACTCAGCTGCCCCAGCAAGCCGAACTACGACCAAGATTTCTGGGTTGCATATCCAGGTGAAAGTCGATTTCCGACAGTCAATTATAGGGGCACACTAAATATTGTATTTCTTCGGTACTCCCTTGTAACCAGAGCGTTTCTTGACGATTCCTCTCTCAATCAGTGAATAGCCCATTTCCACCATTGCCACGGCAGGATCATTGAATTTCATACCTAGTATGCGCTTGGCCTGAAATGAGTTGCATTACGAGCTCTCAGAATCTTTTTCTCTGTAAGATCTTCACTTTCGAATTGTCAAAGTTGTTCTCGTAGCCGGTTCGATTCAGAGCCGAGTGAGCTTCCTTATCAAAGAACGAGTATAACCAGAGTATGAAGTAGGGTGCCTGAAGACGAGGTACCCAGAAACCTGAAACTTGGTCTCATTGTATTGTCTACTCTCAATTTGATCGATAACCTAGAGTTTGAATAGATGAACTGAAGAAATCGCGCAATTCGGCTTAGAAAGGGGAGGAAGCATTTCGTACTTTCGCTATAACCCATCGACGTGTTCATTGCTTTACGGAAGTTGACAAGTGGTTCTACAAGATTAACTGGTGTCTTTTCAAGGCTTCACTAGATCTTACAGATCTCACTGACTAGACACGTCGATGGGAAATAGCGAAAGTGCGTCCCTCTTTGTCCCACCCCCCCCCCTCGCCGAACTACGCCGAGGAAAACGGGGTAAGCGAAGCAGCTGGACTGTGACGGTTCTGAAGAATGGTCGCGAGGTCTTTTTTTCTTGAATCGCGACCTGCACCGTCCTCTTTCCATAAACAAATTCGAACGATTACTTGACCACTCCCAGAATCTCTACTAAACTGTCAATCGGCACTTTGAAACCATAGAAAGGCATAATCGGCGTTGGTAAGCCTGAGGAGCGTTTGAAAAGCTCTTTTTGCAAGCGTGGACAAATAAAGTGAGCGTACCATGTATGGGCTGTTTCACCAGGAATGGGGCTTCTCCCCCTTCAGGCAAAAGCCTGACCTCCGTAGCGAGAATTCCAATTTTGGCTTAAAGACTTTTAAATACCCCCCTCCCTCCTCCAAGGTCATTGGTACAGCGAAATACTAAGCGTTGGTCAATCAGGCGGTCTGGAATCGTAGCTAATGAGTCGAGACGTTCCTGCTCCCAAAAAGGAGACGTTCCTTCACCAGTGCCCCTATGCACCCAGACACGAACGCGCTGATTGCCTGAATTTGGTGGGAAGACAGTTGTAGCTGGCTGCCACAAAGGTTGGTGTCATTGATTAATTAATTAGCCTTTACGGTCGCTGTTCTGAACTGCCAGGTGTCATGAGGAAACCACACTGCGGCTCTCGCGCATATGTACACTCCTTATCCCCGAGACAGAGTAGGCGTGGCATTTGTACATGGCGCAGAATGGGTTACTTGTGGGATAGTTCACTACAAAACAAGTGTCAAGTAAAGGACAAAGACATGACTACAACTGTACCAAAAAGAAAATGTCTCTCTAAAAGCACAGCCAGCGCCACTTTTAGTTGAAGTACGCAGCCACGCCTATCCCATCTCACAGATTCCGAGTATACTAAATCAGCAAAAAAAAAACGAAATCGTTTCTGATTCAGAAGAAATGGTTTTGTACCTTGTGGTCTGAATTCTTCTCCCAAAATCCGAGCGATATCTCTGAACCAAAATGACGGCTGGCTTGTGATCTGCAAACGGTGGTATTTAATGCAAGCAGAATAAATCGTGAATGTTCCTAAAACTAATTATGCTGACTTAATTCTGAATTGGCTTACATTACGTGACATTTTGGCTCCAAGGCCTTCGCTGAGAGTGAGTAAGTTTCACTCTACCCCCTCCCCCTCACTACCGGCATCATTTTCACCTTCAGAAGCTCGCAAACGGACGTGACATTTGGGCTTGAAATTCTGTGTGTTCAGATTGAAGATACTTATTTATGAGTATAATCCGAGCTAATTTTAACCATGTGGGAACCCATTCATACTCACCAAAATTCGCTCTCCATCACTTTCCGGACAATGCATAGCTAGCAAATGTGCTTTCGCCACGTCTCGAACGTCCACACAGGCCAGATTCAGTTCCGGAAGGGCAGGCCATTCAAAGTTGAGGAATCGTCGCATCAGCTGAGCATGTGTACTTATTATCGATATCTCGATTCACTTGTGGACATTAATAGTCCCTTCGCACGTGCCTTTAGATATAAACGGTTAGTACTCACCGATATACTGGCACCTTCTTCATCTATTATCAGTGGGCCAACAACAAATGTCGGATTCAGGCACGTCAGTTTGAATCTGAAAAGAATTGCGTGTGCAAAACTTTGAATAAAAATCGTAATTAAATGAGGAAAAGGTCCAATAAAAAAACTACTTCAGGATGCGCGCCCTGGATTCGCTTTTAGTGAAGGTTGGTGAAGTCATTTGTGTACATGCACAGTGCGAGGTGTTTTTGTCGCGGTAAGGTCTGGCATTCCTGGGGACCCGGGGATCACGCGCGGTATGACAGCACCTTTAATTTCCTCCCCACCCAGCTGCCACTGTGGTAACGATAAGCACAGATCAAGTCAGTCTGACCAATACCATGATGGAAAATCCCCCCCCCCACGAAAAAAAAGCGGTAAACAAGTTTTGTTATTCATTGCATTTGTTTCTGCGATTATTTTACTTTGAGAACCCCTTCCCTAAAGCGACCAAGATGGATAGCTTCCGCCAGCCGCTCACACCAGTGCGTCCATTGCTTTCGAAGCACTCATATTCTCTAGTTCGTTGCGGACGGTTGGGTGTGTCAGGCAGTGTGAATGACCCGTCGAAGCCGTTCTTTGCCTTTTGTTGAAGCGCGCATGCGACAAAAAGTGGTAGAAAACGAGTAATACGAACGATATGATACAGTCATATCATTTGCTCGCTTTAACAACTGGTGGAGAACGAGGTTTGGCACCGCGCCAAACGCAGCCGCACTGACACGCCCAACCGTCCGCAGCGAACTACACTATAATTTTAATCAACACCCTCCAGAGGAATGAATAGGAAATCATATTAAGTAAAAATATCGTACTTGTTGCCGTCCTTTATGTTGTTAACGAAATCCCATGCGGCTTTTTCGGCCAATGTCTTGCTTTTGGCGTAGTAGTCTACCTTTGGATCGTCAACATTGGTCCATGACGTTTCGTCGTACGTTTTTCCATAGGTTTGCCCTTCTGAAAACTTATGCGTGTACAGCTTAAAAAGTCCTTCAATAGAGCGCAGTTAACCAGAGAAAGCGCGATCCGGACTACCCAAACGTCCCTGTCCAATTGGTGTCCGATTGAACATATTAATATCTGGAGCTCGAAAAACCAACCGTGTACCGCAGCACAACTGCTGGTGAGAACGACTTTCTTCACGCTGGGTTCTTTCGAAACGGCTCGGAGAACATTGAGTGTTCCAGTGACAGCAATGTCCACGCAGGATGGATCGGATACAATGGGAAACGGTGACGCGATATGGAGCACGTAGTCACAATCGCTCACTGCACTAAAAACATCCGAATATGGAAAACATTGCAAATTCAGAAACCGCCTTAGTTGGTCCTCATAAGAAAC